AAGTGTCGAAGAGACGCTCGGTGTGCTGTGCAGCTTTATGAGGGAGTGCAAGTCCCGGAAGCAGGTGCCCAGGATTAAGTGATGCTCATACCGAAGGCCCACTGACGACCCAGCCCCGTGGTTCCCACACGTGGTTGATGAGCAAAACCACCTGAGGAGGGTTTGGAAAATACTGACTCCCAGGCCCCATCCCAGTGGGACTACCAAGTCTGTATTTTCAGAGTCAGGACTCCGGGATGTGGGTTTGAATCCCCTGGTGCAGCTCATGAACACCCAGGCCCGGAAACCACTGCTCTGTTCAGAAGGAAAGGCACCAGCTTTTTGAGAGCACTGGGCCCAGGCTCCAGGAGTGGCCACGGTCCTCACACACACACACACACCAGGCCGTGCCAGCAGGCCCCCTCCCCTCAGCCCCTGGCAACAGCTGTCTACTTTCTGTCTCTACAATATTGACTGCTCTCAGTACCTCACTGTCTCAGCCCGTTCAGGCTGCTGTAACAAAAATATCATAGGCTGAGCGGCTTAAGCAATAGACAGTCATTTCTTAGAATTCTGGAGGCTGTGAGTTCCAAAAGCCAGATGCACCCCTTCCTGGTTCATAGAGGGCTGTTTCTGCTGTGTCCGCATCTGGTGGGAGGGGTGAGGGAGCTCTCTAGAGTCTTTTATTTTTTTAATTTTTATATATTTACTAGAGCAGTGATGGCGAACCTTTTGAGCTCAGCGTGTCAGCATTTTGAAAAACCCTAACTTAACTCTGGTGCCGTGTCACATATAGAAATTTTTTGATATTTGCAACCATAGTAAAACAAAGACTTATATTTTTGATATTTATTTTATATATTTAAATGCCATTTAACAAAGAAAAATCAACTAAAAAAATGAGTTCGCCATCACTATACTAGAGGCCTAGTACACAAAATTCGTGCACTGGGGATGGGGGTGGGGGGGTGTTCCCTCAGCCCAGCCTGTACCCTCTCGAAGCCCAGGACCCCTCAGGGGCTGTCTGTCTGACATTCTGCTGTAATGATCACTTAGGCTTTTATTATATAGATTGATTTCAGAGAGGAAGAAAGAGAGAGAGAAACATCAATGATAACAGAGAATCATTGATCGGCTGCCTCCTGTACTCCCCACACTGGGGACCGAGCCTGCAACCCAGGCACCTGCCCTGACCAGGAATCAAACAGTGACCTCCAGGTTCATAGGTCAATGCTCAACCACTGAGTCACCCCGGCTGGGCTAGAAAACTATTTTTAAAGAGTTATCTTCTGTCCAGGGAAATGCTTTTCAGACTGCACTGAGGAGAAAGGATTTTCCAAATTAAGGACCTGTTACAGAACACTCGCAATTATTTCAACAGGTGGTCAGCAAAATAGAGCACACATGTAAACTTATTTGCAAAGCAGAGATGGTATTATCCATGTTGGTCACAGGGCTGCTATAAATATTAAACAAGACAATATAAGAATGTGCTTGGAATACAGCCTTGGCTCAATGAGTATGAGAGATTATTATTGGTATTACGACGCACAAAATCTAGCTGGTAAATTGCTTTGTGAGGACATGGTCATGAGACAGCTACAAAAATGATTAGGAATCTATAAAAACTGCCCATGGCAGAGTAAAGGGAGGGAGGTTTTTGAGTTTAGAAAATAAAACTTGGTGAAGGTGACAACTTCCCCCAAGTACAGGAAATAGTAACATTGTCTGTAATGCCATATTCAAGTACAGGGTACAGTAACTTGTGTTAACTAGCATATACTTTACAGTATACAATTTACCTATTTTTGTGCCTGTATGGAGACATATGGAATAAATATATATTTATAATTACTCAAGTGTTCATTATCCAATTCCTTGAAGTTAGGAAGTTGAATAGTGAAAATATTCTCTAATAAACCAATTACTTATAAAATTGGCCCCTACTAAAACACCTCTTTCAGCTAATACTACTACCCCTGCCTCATGATAAAGCTTTAAAATTAAAGTCCAAGTGAAATGATATATATGAATATATAGTACATATGAATAAATACATAAATGATATATAATTTTGTCAGAAAAATACATGCAGAGAAAAGTAACACAATTTATTCTTTGAGAATGAGTGCATATTTGCTATTATAACTGAGGTTTGCTAAATCTAACAAAACATATTTTAATATCATTTAGTTTTATTTTCCAATATGAAGTTCCCATCAAACTTTCCCCCCACTGATTACAAAACTAGTCTTCTCCTTTTAGATGTATTCATATAAAATGCCCTTGCCTGGTAGCAATTATCCTCAGATGTGGGAAGAGAAAGAGGGAGTGTGAGCAAGCGGCCGCGACCTTTCTCTCCAGTTGCCTAACGAGCTAGGTAGCATTCGAGACAAACATACCCACTGTCCTCTTTTCAGTCTTATGAAATGGAAGGAGGTGGACATTTTCTCTTAGCAGAGAAGGCCCTAGGGTTACCGGAGTTCTCTTGTCAGACTTTGGTTGGCAGAGTTTGTGGGGTGAGTTGGAAGTAGAGAGCAACATTCAAATCAGATACTTCAAAGACGCTTCAAAGTTCACACCTCCACTTGACTTCCAATTACCATTTGAATAAATTCTTAGAACTTCAGAGCTAGAAAACATTTTTTAAAAAATTGGTCCTCGTCAAATACGTTTGGAGGCAACCACATTCATACGTAAGAAAACTAAGAGAAAGTGGGTACGTGGCTTTCCCGAGATCATACTGCCTACAACGGCTTGACGGATCCAAGACCCACGTCTCCTTAGTCTAGAGCTGTGGTTGGCAAACTGCGGCTTGCGAGTCACATGTGGCTCTTTGGCCCCTTGAGTGTGGCTCTTCCTAAGCCTTAGGAGTACCCTAATTATGTTAATAACAATGTACCTACCTATATAGTTTAAGTTAAAAAAAATTTGGCTCTCAAAAGAAATTTCAATCGTTGTAGTGTTGATATTTGGCTCTGTTGACTGATGAGTTTGCCGACCACTGGAGAGCTGCAGTCTCAACCTGGGCTGCACAGTGGAATCACCTGAGGAGCTTCAAACGTTTCTGATGGCCCCAGCCAGTTGGGCTCAGCGGATAGAGTGTCAGCCCGAGGACTGAAGGGTCCCAGGTTCAATTCTGCCCACGGGCACATGCCTCGGTTGCAGGTTCGATCTCTGGCAACCAAAAGATATGTCTCTCTCACATCGATGTTTCTCTATCTCCCCATTCCTTCCACTCTGTTTTTAAAATAAATGGAAAAATATCCTCGGGTGAGGATTAACAACAACAAAAAACTTCTGATGTCTGGGTGCCACCTCCAGAGATGTTGACTTCAGGTGGTCTTGGGTGTAGCTGAACTGGGGATTTTTACTAGTAAGAGCTCCCCAGGCGAGTCTAACAGGCAGCCAAAGTTGAGATCCATGATCTTTCCTACTTTTTGCTCTGGCAAAAGGACTGATGTCATTTCTCACGACAGCCCTTCCTATCCTTCCAGTTTTCCCCTCCCAGTGAATCCTATTCCTTCTCTACTGTTGCCATATCCATCCAACAATTTGTAAAGCCCAAGGCCAGGAAAGGTGGAGCTCAGGCAGCAGCCAGTGGGTGGAGGAGGGAGGCAGGGCTGGGGATGGGGTGAGGGCGATGAGAAAGGCATTGGAAACCAGAGCTGCGGGACCCTAGTCCACCCAGCAGCCTCTCACACTGGGCAGATGGTCGATTTCACAGCCGAATCTACCAGGGAACCAATAGCAACACTCTAGCAGCAGCCATATTCCCCAATTTAAGTTGAAATATTCTCCATATGCTGGGGTTTCAGATTCTCTCCTGGAGCCGCAGGCAGCAGGAGCTAACCATCCCAGTCCTAGCTGACAGCGAATGACTCTTGGAGCTGAAAACGATCGGCTACTGTGGTGACGGGAGCATGAAGCCAGGCCCTGGACCAACCCCTGAATGTGCGATGATCTTTTCATTGCACTTAGTTGGGTGTATAAAAATGAGCTTTGGACCCTGGACTAGAAAGGCAGTGGCGAGAAAACAAATTTCAAAATTATTCTCTCCTTTAAAAAAAATTTTTTTTAATTGATTTCAGAGAGGAAGAAAGAGATAGAAACACCAATGATGAGAGAGAATCATTGATGGGTCGTCTCCTATACACCTCTCAATGGGGATTGAGCCTGCAACCCGGGCATGTACCCTGACAGGGAATTGAACCATGACCTCCAGGTTCATAGATCGATGCTCAATCACTGAGCCACACTGGCTGGACAAAACTCATACTTTTAAGTAAGTATGAGTTATACTTACTCTACCTTTATAATTATTGATGTACAGAGAGATGTCCATGGTAGATTAATTTTTTAATGCAGGTTATAAAATAGCATATTCTATTATATAGAGAGAGGGGGAGGTGAGAAAGAAGGGCAGAGAAAAAGAGTCTGAAAAAATATATATCAAAATGTTACTAATGGTTAATTCTGTGTAGGGTGATTGTAGGAGATTTTAATTTTTGAATTCTTTGTATTTTTTATTGTTTATAATCAGCATGTATTCCTTTTGTGTGTGTGTGTTTTTTTAAAAAGGCAATAAGGCTATTTTCACTTTGTAAGAATCAAAATATTAAATAACTGTGTTTTACTGCCAGTTGGAACCTTGCAAAGCCACTGAATCACTTAACTACTTCCCCTCCTGGGGAGATAAAAAAATGGGCAGAATGGAGAGTGGAAAAATTTAATTAAAAAAAAATCCCAAGGTAAAGTGCTGCAATATGCCATGGCCTTTCTATAGCGGGTCAAGTTAGGTCCTCCATCGCCTCCGTGAGCCAGGCAACCCTGATACAAAGCAGACCTGGATCGGTGAACTCCCTTCCTTCCAGCTGCACATGTATTTCCCTGTCAGAGCACTCAGCAGAGAGCTCCGGGGGGCAGGGGTGGGAGGATGGGTGTGTGTGTGGGGGCGGGGGCGGTCTTCCAGCTTTAGTACTTCCTACTTCTCCAAGTTAAAATAAAACATTATTTCTTACTCCAATTTTTCGTCCTCCTCTACTTGATTGATTTTTCTAGTCCACTTTGGGGCTTCCTCCCAGCTGTTTAAGATCCTTTATAAAAAAAAGAAAAAAGTATTCTTATAAAATAAATATTTTTAAAACCGTGGCTGTCACTCCAGAGCTGAAACACACACACACATACGGTCTCCGATATCGCTTGCAGCATAGCCAACCACTCAAAGCCCAGGGACACCCCCGCACACAGAAAGGGTAGGGGACTCTCCAATGGAAGGGAAGCAGGAAATCCCACCTGCCTTGCCCTTCCATTTATTGTTCATGATTCTGTGGGTCAGGAATTCAAGTAGAGCTTATCGCTGCTTGGGCTGTGTCAGCTGGTCAGGCCGGGGCGGGGGGGGGGGGGGGCCCAGGTGGCCCTGCATTTGGAGGCTTGGTCCTGGCTGTTGGTCGGGGTGCCCTGGTCTCCTCCCGTGGCCATTCTCTCTTCACATTTTCTCTCTCATTCAGTAATTCACTGTAAGCTCCTCTGCCTAGTGGCTGGTTCCCAAGAGGGTGAAAACGGAAACATCAAAGGCTTTCCTAAGACCTAGGTGCCCAGTCCCACAGCGCCCACCCAGGATTCTATTGGTCAAAGCGAATCCTGGAACAAGAGTTGGGGAAACAGCCCAGCTGGTGTGGCTCAGTGGTTGAGTGTTGACCTATGAACCAGGAGGTCACGGTTCAAGTCCCAATCAGGGCATGTGCCCATGTTGTGGTCTCGATCCCCATTGTGGGGCATGCAGAAGGCAGCTGATCAAAGATTCTCTCTCATCAATGATGTTTCTATCTCTCTTGCTCCCTCTCTTTTCCTCTCTGAAATCAATAAAAATATATATTTAAAAATACTGTTTAAAAAGAGTTGGGGAAATCAACTTCACCTCTTGAAGCAGGAATGGCAAAATCCCATTGGAAAAGATTATATGGAATAGGAGGTGTTGTAGCCATCTTTAGAAAAAAAAACTACTTAAAGAGTTCAAAATTAAAAATAAATATTTTAATGAGCTTAAAAACCATGGTAACTAAGTATAATAAAAAAACTAATAATAATCACCAGAGGGGATAATTTTTTTTTTTAGGTTGTCTGACACTTTTACTTTCTGAATCAGCCCTTGCTTGCCTCTTGTCGCCATTTTGTTACATTAGGCCAAGAAATCCTACGTGCAGTGTATACGAAAAAAGTACTTGCTGTGTCGCCCTTTGCCAATAGTTCACCATGTGCTGTTCCCTCTCAGTCACCTTCTCCCTTTGCCTGTATTTCCCCGCTGCCCACCCTCAGTTTTCTTACCTCTGATTCTTCACTCTTCCTAGGGGATGTTATCCAATCCTCTGGCTGCCACTTACATGTTAATGACTACCCCTCCCCCCCTTTTTTAATCCTCTCCCTAGGACATTGTCATTGATTTTTAAACAGAGGGGCTAGGGAGAGAGAGCAAAACATCGATGTAAGAGAGAAACATGGATTGGTTGCAAGCCAGGCATGTGCCCTGACTGGGAATCAAACCTGAGACCTCTTGGTGTATGGGATGACGCTCCTACAGACTAAGCCACACTGGCCAGGGCGACTCCTACATTTTCATCTCCAGCCCAGATCTTTCTCTCCTGGGCTCCAGACCTGAAATTCCCACTGCCTCCTGGGCATCTGTATTTCGATGTGCCACAGGTAATCTCATCTTTACATGTTCTAATTCAGATTTGGCATTTTCTTCCTCCCCATCGAAAGCTCCTGCCTCCCCAGAGTCCCTTCCTTGAGCTTAGAGTCTTGTTTTTGTCCTGTTTCATCCAGTGAATCAAGCCAGGAACCCAGCAGTCCTCCTCCACATCTCCCTCTGTCCTCGTGCCCACATCCAATCAATGACCCAATCCTGCTAGTTTCTGGTGCCACACTGTCTCCTGCCTACATTACTACAAACACCTCACTGGTGTTTGAACACCATCCCACCCCCCCACCCCCCGCCCATCTATTCTCCACACGGGGCCCACATGAGCTTTCTATAGCATCGTCCCTGGCTAAAGCCTGTTGGTAAGTCCCCAGTATCCTCTGGATAGAAGTTCTCCATCTACATTCCTTAGCAGGGCACACAAAGGCCCTTTATGTTCTGGGCTGCTTTCTTTAACACCCTGAGCTCCTCATCCTACCTCTCTAATCTGTAATCAGACAGTTTAGAGCATCCTGAATCCCCAAAGTTCTCTCTTTTCTCTACCTCCCTCCCGCAGGATCAGCTGGGGGAAGCCTTCCCTGACCCCTTCCTTGGCCCTCCCGGGACATTCTGTACACACCCCTTTCTTAGCACCCACCACTCTACAGTCATGCCTGGCTCACTTACTAGTATTTACTTCTCCCACTAGGCTGGAAGCTCCTTCAGCACAGGAGCTGTGTCTTTTTTATGGTTGTTCCTCCGAGTTCAGCTCGTCCCTGGCACATGGTGGGGCAAGGGATGAATGCTGATGACACCCACCGGCTGGAAGGAACACAGAGATGACTCCTGGGTACAACGTGCTTTAATATCCATAACTGACCTGCGACATCTTCACTGTCAGCCCCTCCTCGCACTTCCTTCACTATTCTGACCGAAGGAGAACCCAGCCCATCAGCAGGAAGGTGACATCTCTGAGGGACTGCTGACTCCTGCCCAAGGGCTTTCTCTCACTCATGCCCAAGATGAGACTTCCATGCCTGGCCCTGCCGTGATACAAGCTAGGGAAAGGCATGGAAGGATCCAGACTTCTGCCTAGGCACCAGTCCACATTCTATCTACAACCCCAGGGGGTCTTCAGAGAGGACCTACAGTTTCATTTTACCCGTTTAAAAACCTTGAGTGCCTCTTCTGGAACAGACACTGAGCCAGAAAGATGATGCTGACGTGGCCCCCATCTTGAAGGAGCTCGGATCTGGGTGGGACACCGGCAGAGTTTAGTTTTGTAAAAGACTCCTTGCAATAAGGTGTGCCGCGTACTTTGCTCTGATCGTGGAGGTGTGGAGGAGTAGAGGAGAACGAGGAATTCATCTCGGAGTTATCAAGAAAGGTGTCAGCAAGGTGGCAAAGGAGCTCATAGGATAAAAATGTGCATTTCTTCCTAGACACTAGGCCTCCTGCTGCACTTGAAAGACAGTCTCAGTTTCAAACGGGGGCCTGTACGTTCATCAGTCCTCTGGCTCCTCCTGCCTCACTTTTCCAGCTCGGTGCCCTCCTCCTTTCCCCAGCACACTCTCACCTCAGGCCACAGTGCACCACGCGGGGCACGCTCCTTCCTGCTCTCCTAGCTGTTTCCTCTACTCAGGTGCACTCTCGGATCGGCCTGTCCTCTCATTGGAATCTCAGCGGTTCTCAACCTGTGGGTCGCGACCCCTTTAAGGGTCAAAGGACCCTTTCACAGGGGTCGCCTAAGACCATCGGAAAACACATATATAATTACATATTGTTTTTGTGATTAATCCCTCTGCTTTAATCATGTTCAATTTGTCACAATGAAATCGGGGGTCACCACAACATGAGGAACTGTATTAAAGGGTCGCGGCATTAGGAAGGTTGAGAACCACTGCATTAGATTTTCAGCTGAACAGTATCCTCCTCAAAGCAAGCTTCTCTTCCCTCCCAAACCAGACCAGTGGCCCACGGTCACATCACTCTGTTGCAATTCTAGGCATTACAGTTAATTCACTTGCCTTCGTAAGTGAATATGTGTATGTGTGCGTGTGCCTGTCTTGCCTACCTGCCTTTGCCTTCCCATCCAACCTTTTTGAGAGCAGGGAGCGGACCGGTCTTGTTCGTTGCTATTGTCCCAGTGCCCAGGGACTAGAACACATTGTAGGTGGCTTACAAACATGAACGTGTGTACCGTATGCTTGAGGAAGAGCAAGTCATTTGTTATGGCTGTGGGCAGGGGTGTGTCTGGGTGGGAGATGAGGTTGGGAGGGTGGGGAGGGAAGCTGGGGGCCCCCTGTAGAGTTCTGAATGAAATGGCCTATTGTCTCCTAGGCAACAGGAGCCAAGGATCATGTTTAAGTAGGGAGTGCCACGATTGGATCATGACTTTTTTCAAAAAGCCACTCTGGCCTAGGGTGGAAAGTTTGGGCACCAGAAAGGAACTGGGGTGGTGGTGGGGTGGGTGGGAGATTGCAGTTTGTTTAAACCAAGGGGACGTCGATGACAGACTGACCTAGAGCAACATTTGAGGGAGAGAAGAGAGACATTTTTGGGGACCACGTGGATCCAGGGCCTTGAGGGAGAAGGCGAAGGCTGAGTGGGAAACAATGAGTGCAGCCCTAACTGGTTTGGCTCAGTGGATTGAGTGCCGGCCTGCAGACTGAAGGGTCCCAGGTTCGATTCCGGTCAAGGGCATGTACCTTGGTTGCAGGCACATCCCCAGTGGGGGGTAGGGGGGGGGTGTGCAGGAGGCGGCTGATCGGTGTTTCTCTCTCATCGACGTTTCTAACTCTCTATCCCTCTCCCTTCCTCTCTGTAAAAAAATCAATAAAATATATATATTTTTTAAAAAAACAAAAACAAACAGAAGAAAACAATGGGTGCATACAGGAAGAGCAGAAACCAGGGTCTGAGTTTTGGTTATGTCGAGTCTGAGGTGGCCAGGGAACATCTTTCTCTGAATCTCTAGGAATTGTGCCGCCACCGCGCTGTTCCTCCTCCCCCTTTTCCCTTTCCTTTCCTGTTTTGAGTCACTCCCACCAGCCCTGGATGCTCCCTGTTTCTCAGCCTGCTGGGGCACCAGGCCAGCAGCCCCACGTTCCTGAGGGAGGGACGGGGTTCAGACCCGGAGGGCTGGCCGTGGCCCACCCCAGGACGGCTCCCTGACAGGAAGGGAAGCTGGCCTGCCGGCTGGGCACAGACGGGGGCTTCCTCTGCGGCAGCAGGTGCCCGGGGCCAGCTGCTCCCGCCCCGCAGGCTCAGATCAACAGGATGGGACTGCCCGGGCGGAAGGAAGCCTGCCGGGAAGGACACCCTGCAGACGGAGGGGGAGGGGGCGGGCTGGAGCGCAGGGGAGACAGGAAGAGCTGCCTGGGCTGCCGAGCTGGCGCCCCTCCAGCAGATTCTGGAGCGGCCGTGACAGGAGGCCATTCACTTCCCTTCCTTCCCACCGTGGGTAGCTCCGGCCCCGTGCATCGTGATTATTATTCCTATGCGGTTGTTGGCTAGCCTGGGCCTTAGATGGACCAGAAGAAGTCATCGGAGAATTTTGTTCATGGATTTGGCAATTGCCAAAATAATTGGTTCCTTTTCTATGCTCATGCTGTGCTTATTGGTACAAAGAGGACTTGTGCATTAGCCTTTCGGTTGCTCGCGGGAGGGGCGGTGATCTCCGCCACGTGTTCAGCCTGTTCCGAGCAGATAAAATGTCGGTACCCTTTGGGCCCCGTTATCACTCCCCAACTCTCCCAACAGTTACTGCGAACCGGCACCAAACGGCTAAAGAGGCGCAAACCGGGAGCAGAGCCACAGGCTCCCAGCCGGCAGGCCCCGCCCGCCTCCGTCCAGCCCGGGGGCAGGGGGAAGGGGAGGGTCGAAGGTGGAGGTGGTGGGAGTGTGGGGGACGATGGCGCTTTGGAGGGGCGCTGACCTGGCTCATACCCCTGCAGCAACCCCACCCCCAGGCGTGGCGCGGAGGGCCCCAGGCGACCCTGGGAGATTCCTCCCCTTAATCCCCGGCTTCCAGGCAGGGTGCTTCCGGCGGCCTGGGCCTGGGGTGGGGGTGGGGTCTGTTTTTGAAACAGCTTATAGACTGCAATTTAAACTTTAACTACCTCGAGCTCAAAACTCGATTCCGCCACCGAGCGTCGGCACCAGAAAGGATAAAAAAGAAAAAAAAATCGGGGTCTACGGCTTCCCTTCACCCCATTGGTCCAGTTCTCGGGCTCCCTGCAGTCCCCACGCCGTTCTCTTGGCAGCGCCGGAGGAAGGATGGGCGGGGCGGGCGGGGCAGGCACCGCTCCCAACCGCGCGGAAAGGGAGGGCGAGCCCGCGTCCGAGGCCCGGGCGTGGGCGGGGGGCGCAGTAACAGGTGTCGGCTCAGCTACTGGGCTCCCTTCCCTCCCTCCCCTCCCCGCCCCCGTGATCCCCGCCGCTCAGCCAGGCAAAACCGAGCACATGCTCAAGACAGGCAGCTCAGTCGGTCAGCGGGCTCCGCTTCCTCGCCAGACGTGAAAAGGTTTGGCGTTCCCAAATGCAGATCTCTTGGCGCGGACCCCTGAGCTCGCAGCCGCCGCCTCCCCCGCTCGGCTGCCTGGCGTCCCGCCCACCCCGCGGCTGGCCGACTTGGGGCCCCGCGCCAAGGGGACGCGGCAGAGTGGGCATCCCTCCCCGCCACCCACGTGGGACCAGCCCTCCGCAGTGCCTGGGCGCGCCGCCGCCGCCGCGCCTCCGGGCGAGGGCCCCGCCCGTGGCCCCGCCCCCTGGGCCGGGGGGTGGGTGGGGACGACGGGCGGCGGGTGGGCGAGGGGTAGGGGGCTGGTCACGGAGTCAGGTGGCGGCGGGAGTCCCTCGGGCCGAGGGAACACGCTGCCGGGGATTGTGTACACGCTCCACTGACACCAGCTTCACGCTGCCGGGCAGCCGCTGATCACGCGTGGCCCCGCGAGCCTATTGGCCGGCGCCTCACACACCTTTGTCGCTGATTGGCCCGCCTCAGGCTCCGCCCCGGCTCCGCCCCACCCCCGCCCGCGGCGCGCGGCAGGCGGAGCGGCTACCTGAATGGGGAGGGGGCAGACGGCGCGGAGCGCAGAGGCAGCGGCGGGAGCGACGTCGAGTGTCTCCGCGCGCCCGTCTGGACGAGCAGCCAGTGAGCGTGCCGCCCGCGGCCAGGCAGCCAACCATGCTCAACTTCGGCGCCTCTCTCCAGCAGGCTGCGGTAAGCCACCTGGGAATGCCCGGCCCGCCCCGGCTCGCCACGTCTGAGCGGCCGGCGGGGCGCGAACCCGAGCCCCTGACAGCCAGCCGCGCCCGGGGACCCGGGCTGCAGCGCAGTCGTGGGGGAGTCGGGAGGGTTCCTGCCTGCAGGCGAGGCTCCGGCGAGGGCGTGTGCGTCGCGAGGGGGTCAGGAGAGGCGGCCCGGGATGGAGCGCCGAGGCAGAGACAGGTCTGCTCAAGGTGTCATGAGGGGCCGGGGCAGCTCCCCGGAGAGGCTGGAGGCAAGTGACGGAGAGGATGGCGGGAGGGGCAGGAAGAGTGGGGAAGCCAGGGGGCCCCCCTGCACCTGGCGCCCAGAGAGATGCCTCCTCCTGGATCGGGACTGCGAGCCAGGGTGGGAGGGGGCGGCTCGCGAGCATTTGGGCGGCGCGGTGCGCACAGGAGAGGGGACCCTCTCTCGGGGGTCTGAACGGAAGCTTGCAGGAGGGGACGGCTCAGCAGATCTCCGGGGGCGGGGAGGGAGGGTGCCCGGCGAGGATGCGGGGGAATGGCACGCGGGCCGCAGAGCGCCGAGGAGGGGGACGAGAAGTTCGCCCCCAGACGTCGGCAGGGGACTCCTCATCTCATCCTCGGAGGGGGCAGGTGGCCGCCTTCCACGAACCCCTTGGAGGAGGCGCGGAGCCGCCGCGGGGAGGGAAGAAGAGGGTGGAAAGCAGGACCCAGCAGCGGGGACGGGGGGGGGGGGCGGGGTGGACGGGGGCGCGGGGGCCCTGAGTCTAGGCGGGAGCCGCAGGCCGTGGGGCCGCGCGCCTGGAGCGCGGGCCGGTGGGGGCTGCACGTCTGGGATCCCGTGGAGACGCGCGGGGGGCGGAGGCCGGAGCTGCAGACTCGGGGAGGGTGCGCTGCGTCTGCCGGGAGAGACCGGGTGGTCTGAGGTCCCCTGGGCGGCGTGGGAGGGAAGCACCGAGGGCTCGGCCGGATCCCCGGGGGCTTCGCCGGGAGGGGGCGGAGGCCGGGTTTCCGCGGGGACCCGGCTCCTCCTCCGGCAGCTGAGCCGGAGGTCGGGGGCGGGGTGGGGAGGTTGGGGGCCGGGAGCGGGTGCGCCCGGGGAGCGTCTCGTCCCCGAGTGACCCAGCCCCGGCCTCCGCCAGGGGCGGGAGCGAGCCGGCCCCGCTGTCGGTTCCTAAGGGAACCGCGGGGAGCGGGGAGGGGCGGGCGCTCCGGGAGTCGGGCGCCCGCGGCCCCGCCCCTCCCTGCGGGCTCGGCGCGCTCTGCCGGGCGGTTGGCGGCGGCGCCCGCGGCCCCTCCCCCGGCCGGCGCGCGGGCGGAGG